CCCTGGTTTTGGGGGGGGGGGAGGCCACAGCTACGGTGTGGAAAAAATGGTACCGCATGGCAGTGTGATAGGTGGAGCGCAGCTGGAGTCTGTGTGTGTGTGTAGGAAAAGTGTGTGTGTGTGTGTGTGTGTGCGCGCGCGCAGGGAAAAAAGATCACACACTAGCACAAGCATGCATGCATTTGTTATCTGGCTTCCACGATGTTCTTGGAAGGAGTCCCGCCCATCCCCTCCCCTCAGCTGCCTGCCTGCTGCCTGCCTAGCAGCGTCCCGCCCACCCCCTCCCCCCAGCTACCTGCCTGCTGCCTGCCTGCCTAGCAGCCTGCTCCAGAGAAATTTCCCGGATGGTGGAGGTCCCACTGAACTGGGGGGGGGGGTAGGGGAACACAGAGAAAGAGGCAGAGCTGGGAGAGGGAGGGGCTTGGCAGGCAACCAGGGGGAACCCGCACTCTTTCTCGCTGTCGTGACAGCCCCACAAAGGGGGGGGATTGTTCTTTTTCAGTCCACAAAGAACTCTAACCGAGGCTGCGAATTCGGGCAGCCAGTCCCTCCCACTAAACCTTCAGGTGGGCTTTGCTTTTCCCCTACCGCCACTAGGGCAGCGGCTTGGGGGGCCCTGGAGCCACCAGTGAAGGCCTCGGCTTCCCGCCCCTCCAAAAAGGCACCCCAGGAGTGGGAAGGGCTTTGCAATCACCTCCGCCTTGAAATTCTGCAGCTCCTCCTGCAGGCTGCTGAGCTCCCGGTGCAGCTGCTCAATGAGCCGGTCCCTGGAAGGAGGAAGAGCAGGGTGGGGTGGGAAAACAGGCACACACATTACCTGGAGCCCTTCTGACCTCACGTGTCTCACCTGACAACCCCTGGGATGAAGCCTTCCTTGCCATTCCTTAGCCAGCACCACTCCTGGCACAGGCAAGGTCACTTCAAGGTGACTCCTGAAAAACTTGGCACCAAGGTGGGCACCGGGAGAAGAGGCTCTTCAGGGAGTGGGCAATCAGACCACCTCTCTCCTGGCAGCAGGACTGGGGAGGCTCTCCGTATGCCACCTGCCCTCCTTTCTTGGAGGAAGGAAGGTAGGCCACCAAAGGGATCCGGAGAGACTAGAAGGTGGGAAGGGGTACCTAAGGATATCAGGAGCAAAAGGGTGGTGCAGCCCTCCCCAGAACAAGATCGCCCCTTGAGTCCAGGCTTCCCCATCCAGGGAAGAAGGAAAAAATGAGAGAGAGACCAACCAGCCAGAGAGAACAAGGAGACCACAGAATGTCCTTCTGGCTTCCTGAGACTTTGCTCCTCTGCCTCCTCCATGCTTTTAGCAAAGCCAAGAGGTGGACCAGAGTCAGGCAGGCCATGCTGAGGATGGAAGCCCCCCCCCAACCACCCACAGCAACCCCCTTGTGAAGAAAGAGCCCAAGCTATCCCCAAGCCATTCAAGGGCCTGGGGGGGGCGACAGAAGCAGAACGTCTGGGGCTCTTGCCCTCTGCGCTTAGGGAGCCACGTCCTGCTCTTGAGCAGTGCGCACGCAGGGCGTGCAGCAGAGTGAAACACACTCACTTGTCATCTCTGGCCATCCCATTCTGGCTGTTAAAGTTGAACGGGTCACTGCTGAAGGAACTGCCAAAGATGTCGTCAAATTTGTTGTCAAAGAGACTCTGGAAAGGGAAGCAGAGGTGGTCAGCTCCGCCCCAGGAGAAAGGGGGTCCCGCGCAATGGGAAGCAGAGGTGGTCAGCTCCGCCCCAGGGGAAAGGGGGTCCCGTGCAACCCCTAACACACGCACACGCACACACACATGGCCTCCCTCCTCCTCCTCATCTGCCAGGAAGGCTGGTGTGATTCACTGCTTCCTATCTCGGAGAGCAGGGCTCTCTCGGTGGTGGCCCTTGGAGACTTCCTGGGAAGGAGCCAACACAGTCCAAGAGAGGTGGCTTGCTTCCAGCCTCTCTCTCTCTCTCTGTTTCTCTCTCTCTCGTTCTGTCCCCACCAACTTCTCTATACAAGGGAGCCCACGGGGAAGACATCCTTTTAGTGTGACATGCCTTGTACTGGTGGCTGGGAGTTCTGGAAGCCCACCAGTCCTCCGACATCCCAGTGCAAAACAGACAAGTCTTAGGTTTTGCGGACAAGGTGGAAAGGTCCAGACCCTCAGCCTCTGCCCCACCTGCTGTGAAGACGTTTCCATCTCTACCAGAAATTTGTTGTCAAAGAGACTCTGGAAAGGGAAGCAGAGGTGGTCAGCTCCGCCCCAGGGGAAAGGGGGTCCCGTGCAACCCCTAACACACGCACACGCACACACACATGGCCTCCCTCCTCCTCCTCATCTGCCAGGAAGGCTGGTGTGATTCACTGCTTCCTATCTCGGAGAGCAGGGCTCTCTCGGTGGTGGCCCTTGGAGACTTCCTGGGAAGGAGCCAACACAGTCCAAGAGAGGTGGCTTGCTTCCAGCCTCTCTCTCTCTCTCTGTTTCTCTCTCTCTCGTTCTGTCCCCACCAACTTCTCTATACAAGGGAGCCCACGGGGAAGACATCCTTTTAGTGTGACATGCCTTGTACTGGTGGCTGGGAGTTCTGGAAGCCCACCAGTCCTCCAACATCCCAGTACAAAACAGACAAGTCTCAAGTTTTGCTGATGGATATTGGAAGGTCCAGACCCTCAGCCTCTGACCCACCTGCTGTGAAGACGTTTCCATCTCTACCAGGTCCATGATGGGCTCACTGTCGGGGGACGAGGCTTCCACCGGGATGACCACCACGGGGCTGATGTGCTCCGAAAGGGCAGAGGCCCTTAGGAAGTTGGGGGGATTCTGACGGACAAAAGGGGAAGGGGGGTAGCTCAGAGCCACAGCGTGGAGGAGAGACCTTCCACCTGCCTGGCTTTCTCGAGACAGATCCAGCCACTTCTCTTTGGCCCCCAAGAGGGACTGCACAGAGAACTGGGAGAAGGAAAGTGGCTTTGAGGCCTTACCTCGGGCAGTTGTGGGATCTGGATCAGCCGCTTGAAATACTGCAGGTTGCTGGAGCGATAGAAAAGGTCCTTCAGCCTGCAAGGGATGAAGGCAAAGGCCACAGTCAAACATGAAAGATGGAGGCCTGCCGAGAGTCAAGCCAAGGGAACCAGCGGTCTAGATCCAGGCTGGTCCTGCAACAGGACCCTCGTCCCTCACCAAGCCAGAATGGCTAGAGATAAAGCATCATCTGTATTTCACATTAAGCCAAGACTTGATCCTTTGGGACGTGGAAGGGGGGTGCATGGGGAGAAGCGAAGGGAACAGAATGAAAGTGGGCAGAATCCCATTCAAAGTGGACTTGATCCTGAAACCTGTGATTAGCCAATATGACTGATTGGCAGGAGACAGGACTGCCCAAACCGAGGACCAAACTCTTAGGCGATACACAGTTCAACTGTGGAACCCTCAGCCACAACGCAAGGGATGAAGGCAAAGGCCACAGTCAAGCATGAAAGATGGAGGCCTGCCGAGAGTCAAGCCAAGGGAACCAGCGGTCTAGATCCAGGCTGGTCCTGCAACAGGACCCTCGTCCCTCACCAAGCCAGAATAGCTAGAGCTGAAGCATCATCTGTATTTCGCATTAAGCCAAGACTTGATCCTTTGGGGCGGGGAAGGGGGACGCATGGGGAGAAGGGAAAGGGAACAGAATGAAAGTCGGCAGAATCCCATTCAAAGTGGACTTGATCCTGAAACCTGTGATTAGCCAATATAACTGATCGGCAGGAGACAGGACTGCCCAAACCAAGGACCAAACTCTTAGGCAATACACAGTTCAACTGTGGAACCCATAGCCACAACACGTTAGGTGGCTTTAAAAGGTGATGGGACACAATCCCATAGGAAGGGAAGGTGGTCTATATATTCCGGTTTTGGGGGCCAGAGTCGGGGGCTTCTCAGTGGCCAACTGATTTAGCCAGGCCATCAGATTAACCAATTAACTTTGGCATTGATGTGCCATGCCACCTTCAGCCACTAGGTGCCACACTCTCCCCAGCAAGGGAAGACAAAGCTGAGGAGGACAAGCTGGGCAGATTCCTTTCTCCTCCCAGGGCCTCTCGGCAGCACTAGGCGCTGCCTTCCTCTGTAAGACCCCTATCCCCCCACAAACTCTTCAAAGTCTTCTGAGAGAGAGAAAGTGGCACCAGAGAAGAGAAAAATGCTGAAGGAGTAAATGAAAGGGGAGACAGACCGTGGGGAGAAGAGAGAAGTGCGGAATGGGCACAGGCAGTGTTTCTCAACCTGGGGGTAACTTAGGTGTTCATGGACTGCCTCTCCCAGAAGCCTTCACCACTTGCTGTGCTGGCCAGGGTTTCTGGGAGTTGCAGTCCGAGAACACCTGGGTTAACCACATTTGGGAATCACTGGGCGAAGGGCTCTCTCCATGCCACACCCAACGCTTGTCATCCTCTGCAGGGATCCCAAAGTATTCAAAATGCAAAATAAATGAAAGAATGAGGGACAGAGAGAGAAAGAGAAACGGCTCTCTGCCTGGTCAATTGCAGGGAGGAGACCTGAGGGGAGGAAAAGGCCACCGGGGAAGAGTAAGAGGGGAGTGGAGAGAAGGAAAAGAGCTGGAAGGGAGCAGAAGAGAAAAAGCAGGTGCCCAGAAAAGAGGACGGAAGACGGCTCCGGCAGCCAGGCTGGATGAAAATAGGGGCTTGTCACAGGAGCAAATGAATGGCCAACTGACCATAAAGGTAGATGGCCTGGCTAAGCCCCCTCCCCACGTTCTCCAGGGGGAAAGGAAGCCCAGGCAGGCAGCCCCCGAGGCAGGCAATCCTTCTCTTCCCGGATCTGAGACTTACTTCTTGAACTGCTCCAAGAAACGATCCCTGTGACCTTGGAGTGTGTCCGCTGGGAGGCCTGGAGAAGAGAGGCCGGGAAAAGGATGAGCAGAGAAGGCCGGCTGGCAGGCCTCCACCCACCATGCCTGAGGGCAGAACAGGCAAGAAAACGGGCCAAGATTTCGGCTACTGCTCTAAGGCATGGGGTGCACTTGCCAGCACCTCCGCTTGTGCCCAACGGCACAAAGCCATGGCAGACTTTCAGAAGCCCCAGCGTCTTAAGCCCAGGCTCTGGAGCTGGTTCAGTGTGATGGCTAGCAAAGGGATTCTATTATATTCTGCGCATGCTCAGGAGGAACCACTGCCTACTATGAGATTGTGCATCGAGTCAGAGGATCACGGTTGAGCGTGAGAAGGCTCACACTGTAAAGGGAAGGCTGAATGTATGGAATATGACAACTGCTCTTGACGCTATTAAACAGGGCTGAGGACCTCCTTAACCTTCAGCCATTCAGAGTACGACCTTGCAGAGGAAAACGAGAGAGCAGGCCACGTCCTGGCCCCGCTTAGACCCAGGGATGTCCCGGCCGCGACGGGGACCGGTGGGCAGCCTCGTACTCACAAGAGTGGAGCTTGAAGAGCAGCTTCACGGTGTAGTCGTAGAGGTGGCTGCAGTCAAGGATGACCTGGATCAAGGGGGCCAAGCGGCACTGCCCGGCCGCAGTGACCGACACTGAGCGAGACATGTCCAAAGAGCCAAACACTGGAGGAGAAGCCCCATGGGAGGAAAAAAAAGAGGGCGTCTGTCCTGGATTTGGCCCAAAGGGGATCACTGCCTGCTGGGGATAAGGGGTACCGCAGGGCTGATGACCCTTCCCTGGTGGTGGTGGTGGCCTCCCAGCCCCTCCGAACTCTTATTCTTCAAAGTGAAATCTCTCAAGCCCCACCAGGGCCAAAGAGCCCCCACTGTACTCCCTCTCTCACTGAGGGGGATCCCTAAATATTTCGTCCCAGGGTGGTCGGCTGGCCAGGGATATGGCACGTCCCTTGCTCCAAGCGCTCCCTCCCTCCCTCCATTCCTCCTCCCTCCCTTTGATTCATCACCAGCTCCTTCCTTCCCTTCCTTCTTTCCACCCGATTCTGCCCCCTTCTCCCTGCAGTCCCTCCCTCCATTCCTCCCTCCCTCCCTTTGATTCATCATCAGTTCCTTCCACCCATCACCAGCTCCTTCCTTCCTTCCCTTCCTTCCTTCCGCCCAATTCTGCCCCCTCCCTGCAGAGGGACTTCAAGCCCTCTTTTGCTAGAATGGCAAACATCACCCCCCCGCCCCTGGAGGACCCCTTCCCTCAGATACCAGGCAGGTTTAGGCTCTTAGGTGTTTGTTTTCAGCCCACAACTGATTTGAACTCAACTGTACAAACCCTGCTCCAGGGCTCTCCCTCCTGTCTTGGCCTGGGTGAGCCGTTCTAAGTGTGAAAGAGGAAGCAGGCCCAGGAAACAGGGGCAGGCTAGTCCTGGTTCACTCGGGACTCAAGAAGAGACGGAGACTGAGCTAGGCACATGAGGTGGGAGGGGAGCTCCAGCTACTGAAGGGCAGCTGCCTGAACCCCCCCCTGCTGCCCCTCCCTCCGCCAGAATGCCAGTCACACTCAGTGGCAACATCCTGCAAAGGGAGCACCTTCTGAGTACCCATGATTGGATAAGGCTGGGTGGAGACGTCCGGTGCTGGGCACCCCAGGGTGACACACCTGTCTGGAAGAGGGACAGCTCGCAGTCCAGGTAATCAAACATCTCCACAGTGAGCTGGAAACTGGGGGGGAGGCAGAGGGGGAGAGAGAATGAGAAAGAGTGTCAAGGAATGGAGAGAAGATGCTAGTCTACAACAGAAAGGGAGCTGCCATCAGCTTGGTAGGGGTACCCCCTAACTCAGTGGATCCCCCGCAGGCTACAAAAGGGCTCCCTACGCAGTGGGGTCCTTTAGTCTTCCAGGGGTTTGGAGATCTCCAAGCATGCCTGCTTTCCCGCTCCCCCAGCCTTCCAACCCACCCACACCTCCTCTGCACCCAATCTGCTGCCTCTGGGCAAGAAAAGCCCGGCCGGGCAAGCTGGACCCCCACTTGCCATCACTCCCCAAACTCGAGAGGGGGGGAAAACGGCGGCCAGGACCTCCTTGCCCCCCCCCACCGGAGAGCCCACCGCCCCAACTCTCTGGCACTCACAAGTTGTTCACATCATTCTCTCCGGTCTCATCCAGCTGCCGGTCTGACATCTGGAGGTTCCCAGGGAACCGGGGGTTCTGGACCAGGGGAGGAAGAGGGGAGGGGGTCAGGCCACGGCCCAGGAAAAAACAGGGGCAGCGCAAATCTCTCTCTCTCGTTCCTTCGAAAGAGGAGGTGCAAGCTGAACCTCTCCCTGGCAAGAGGGAGACCCTGCTTCTCCCTCCCATCCTGAAAATGAAGATGCTACCTATTTGGAAATGGGGCAGGTGGGGGGGTGGCGAGAGGCATTCAAGAAGTGTTTCCAGACAGCCATCATCCTAACTCCCAGCCCAGAAAGAACACAGAATCATTCCTGGAATGTGGGCTTTACGTAAGGCAGTGTAAAGCAAACGGCAAAAGGAATCCTGGGGCTGGAAGGGGCAGCCTGGTGGGGGGGCCAACTCTCCCGCCCGAGGCAGCTGCCCCTGCTCTCCCTCACGGGCAGCTTCCAGCCACAAGAGGGAATTGCGTACCCCCACCATTGCACCCCCCCCCAGACACACACAGAAGCTGCCCTCTGTCATCACACAGCAGTAAAAGGAGATTGGGGGGGCAGCCGACCTCTCTCTGGGCCCTGGCAGAAGACCAGCTTCCCAGTCCGGGCGGCCAGATTCCATTCTATAAATACCTGCCGCCCTCTCCACTCCCCAGCAAGCGGGAGGCAGCCAAGACCAATGGGAGGGCGGCCGGAAACCCCGTCAGACACGAGACCCTCCCCGAGGCAAATCTGGGAGGAGCTCGGCAGAAGAGTGACGAGAGCGCGCATGGGCAGCGGTAAGACTGGGCGGCCAATCTGCTCCCCAAAAAGGCCCACCCCACCCCCCTCTCAAAGAGAAGAGAGAAGGACCCCAGCCAGCCAGCCCTTCCTTCCAGCACCTCAGCAACGCCGGTGCTCCTAAAGCAGCGTTGTGCTTCTCCGAGGGCAGCTCAGCTCCCCCGTTCCACCTCCTCCAGACTTTGCCCCACCTGACACATCCCCTTTTCCCCTCAGAGAGGAAACCCACCCGAGAGGTCCGCCAGGGAGCCCACGCTCGCCCCGACCGCCTCGGGAGGGGCTGCCTCTGGTCCTCTCCCCAACCCCGAGATCCCTCAGGCCTTTCCCGCTTTGCGCAGGAAGCCCGCGTGGCAAGGAACGCCCTTGAGACGGGACAAGAGGAGCCGCCCGTGACTTGCCTTCATGTGGAACTCCATCTTGGTTCTCAGCAGTTTGAGGTAGATGCTGCACAGCTGCCCGTAGCCCTCGCTCAGGTGGCCCTGCGGAGGAAGGAGGGGAAAGGGTCTCGCCAGCAGTCTCCTCCGTGTCCTCGGCGGGGGTGTCCCAGGCTAGCCCACCCCAAGGACGGGCGCAGGGAAGGTGCTTCCCCACCCCCCGCCGTGCCTCCCTCCTCCAGGGCTCACTGGCGCTCACCCACATCCGGCCCATGTCGCTCAGCTCACTCTTGTATCTCACGGAGTCCTTCAGGACCTGCCGAAAGAAGGCAGAGGGTGGCCTCAAGGAACAGCAGCCGCTGCGGGCCTTGAGGACCATTATGGAGGAGAAGTCCCACCCAGAGGACCCGATGGAAGCCCTCCCTGAGGCCCAGAGGCTCAGCTGGGAGGAGTTGAGGGGACCGCAGGCCTCTCCGTGGGGCCACGTCTCTGAGACCGTCGGCCAGCAGACTCCAGGGCCCTCCTCCCCTCCCAGCTCTGCCACTGTCCAGAACCAGCAGGGCTCAAGAGGGGGCCAACGGGTCACGATTCCATAATTCTGGCTTGCAAGCGCAAGTCACTGACTGCCTCCTCCAGCCCACAGGAGCAGCTCGAAGGCAGGAAAGCTCCACCTGTGGCTGACAGAGAAAGCATGCCTGAAAGGAAATTCCCAGTGTGTGGTTCTCCTAACCGGTCAGAGAAGAAAACCCTTCTTTGGGGTCTGGTTATGAGAACCACAAGCCAGGAATCTCCTGGCCCCTGTGAGACTGGGAGCAACTTATGCCTCTCGGGCAACTAAGGGCAAAGTCTAGCTAAGCCACAGCCTTGCCCTCATCAGCATTAAGGTGGAAGAAACAGAGTCAGCCTCCACCCTGGCTCAAGAGTTGCATGGGACCTGCCAGCCTTGGTGTGACTGACCAAGCTCTCCCCCCCCCCATGGGAGTCCTGCAGGGCTTTGAACTTGCAGAGGTGAGAGAGGTGGCTGCAAGCCAGAGCAGACAGCACGGCACAGACCTCGGGGCCTCGTCTGCTCCCAGCTAAGAGCAGCAGAGGGGATCCCCGCTCGTGTTCCTGCCTTCCTGGGAGATCAGATGCCCGGCAAAGAGCAAACTGGAAGCCACCTTGGCTGTCACTCAGCCTGCCAAGGAAAAAGGGGGGGGGCTGCCCCCTCTGCAAGATGGCCCCAGCCACATTCAGCCACGTCATTGCGGTCTGCCTCTGGCTCCATTTGGCACAGAACCCGTCCTATTGCTAAGCCAGGCTGGAAGATGTGCCAGGAGAAGGGAAGCGACGTTCCTTCCAGTTATCTGCGCAGGAGGAGGACCGAAGACAAGAGAAAACATCTAGGGTTTGAGGAGGGAGGGGGACGAGCCTTACATTCGGGTGTCCGTCACGGAGCAGCTTGTGGAAGACGTGGCAGAACTTCCAGCAGAGGATGGCGTTGCTGGAGAGGGGCAGGCGGTTCACCACGGACCAGAAGGTGTGAGCTCCCTTCTCGTGGTGCGTTCCCAAGATGCAGGGTGGGAGGTGGGCTAAGGAAAACCAGAGGGAGGAGAGGCCTAGACGGGAGGCAAGCCCCGCTCTTTTGAGGGGGGGGCAGCAGCAGCTTGAACCCCTACCGCCACCATCACCCAGCCCTTCAGCCTCACCAAAGGTAGCTTAGACTGGGATGTTAGCTTGAGAGGCGGGAGAAAGGAGGCCGCGGCTCTTTCTCTGGGTCACTGCTTGGCCCCATAACTGAGCCCAAGCGATCGGAGCTGAAAGAGAAAAACCTTCTGATCCGGGGCCTCCGGCACAGCCCATTCACCTGGCGAGGAGGTCTCACCTCCACCTGCCGAGACAGCTTCCCCGCCGGCCTTTCACAGCCTCTGCCCTTGCCTCTGGCCGAGGCAACGTCAAACGGCAACCTGGCGAGGAGGTCTCACCTCCACCTGCTGAGACAGCTTCCCCGCTGGCCTCTTTTCACAGCCTCTGACCTTGCAAACGGCGCTCTCTCTCTCTCTCTCTCTTCCCTCCACCCCGCCCTCTTTCTCCTGAAAGGATATTTCTGGCATGCTTTTCTTTGACAGCGACTTCCTGAGCATTAATGGCCTTGTTGATGCTGGCAGTCTAAAAAAAGAGAGAGAGAGAGAGAGAACGTGAGTAGGAGAGGCTCCATGGCAGACGGAGAGACCAAGACAGACGTCGCCACCAGGCACACACATACCAGAGCCAGCCTCCCAAGGATCCGGTTTTGGGAAAAGCTCTGTAGCCTGCCTGCTGGGGGATCATGGGAGCTGTAGTCCAGCCCCTCTGGGAGGCACCACAAGCTGGAGAAGCCTGCCTCACAGGGGAGGTGCAAGCTTCAGGTTTTGGGTCCTGCCTACCGAGAGGACCACCCTGGAAAGGACCACAATGAAGCCTCGATCGCCAGAAGGCTGAATTCCGACTCCTGCAAGAGTTTGCTGGGGAGAGACCCATCACCAAGAATCGATGTTCTCAGGCCCCAGTGACCCAAAGGCCACCTTCCACGCGGCCTGCGGCCTGCCTCCTGCCTTGGGGCATCTCGAACGACAGCAGAGCACAGGGGGGCCAGGTTTGGGCGGTACATTGACCAACCTGGAGCCAAGGGCAACCTCTCCCTACTGCGTGGAGCGGACAGGCCCTCAAGGAAAGCAGATTCCTCTCGGGTCCTGGTTTTGGATTTGATGCCTGAAGCCCAACAGGATCGGAAACCACCACCCCCAAAACAAGGAAATCATAAGACAGAGTAAGAATGAGGTGTGTGCCAAGCCACCCATCCCGGCGGGGAATGGCAAAAGCCGAAATAAGCTTCTCTCCCTGGAGCCAAGCAATGGAAGCATTGGCTCAGAGTCGTTCACCTCTACGCAGGAAAGCTGGCTTTCTCAGGCAAGCCTCTCCCCACCTCCTTCTTTTTCTTTTCTTTTCTTTCTTTCTTTTCTTTTCTTTTTTTTGGTCTGGGTGCTTGGGAGAGCAGAAGCAGCCGCTGATCTTTGACAGAAAAGCCCACTTGACTGGCAATGCCCGGAACACCTCCAAGTGGGAAGTGGGGCACTCGGGGGCTGGCAGCAGCAGGGAACCCCAAACCCTCCTTCGGCCAGCAGCATGCCCAGGATCAAATGCCCTGCTCCTCGGGAAGCCGCAAAGCCTTCCAGCCTTGCTTGCGGGGCCCCGTTTTCAAACTTGAGCGAAGGATTTCTTTGGAAAGTCACCCAGTTCCCCTTTTCAAAAACCTCAAACCCTTTGACTTGCCAGGAGTTACTCTGGCCTCCCTGATCTGTCACAATCCTGCAAAAGATCTCTCTCTCTCTCTCTCTCCTCTGTGTGTTGTGTGTGTGTGTGTGTGGGGGGGGAGAGCAGAAGTCTTGAGCCGCTGAGAGCCACCGGGTCCACCTCTCGAAGGACTCTTGCTTGCCTCTGCGGGATTCCCAGTCTAGCTGCAGGACTGGTGAATGAAAGGCTTCCAGCGGACCAGGGGTGGGGGTGGGAGGCATGCTACCGTATTTTTCCATGTATAAGATGCCACCATGTATAAGATGCCCACCATTTTTCTAATCCAAACATAAGAAATCTAAGTGGGGCTTAGCAAGTGTAGGGGGAAAGGGATCAAATCGCTGCAGGATCGCTTTGATCCCTGCTTTCCCCTCCACTAGTTTTTGTTCTCTCCTCAGCTTACTTCCGTGTATAAGATGACCCTCAATTTTTAGTCTAAAGATTTTAGACAAAAGTATAGTCTTATACGTGGAAAAATACAGTAATTCTTGGAGCCTCGTTTCCACCCTCCACCAGAGTGACAGCCACCCTTCTCTTTCCCGGAAGGCTCAGATGCAGGAGTCAGCATTCTCAGGCATAAGGGCTTCCGGGACCCACGAAGGAGGGAAACAGCTTAACCTCCGCCTGAAAGGCTGCCATTGTCCATCGCTTCCTGCTGCGGCCGCTCAGGTTCCAGAAAGACAATGTTCAGCTGCCACGGGGAGGAAACCAGCAGCCCACTCAGCCAGAGACAGCCAAAGGCAAAGGGAGCCAATGCGGGAGTCCCAGCCAGCCGCCAGCGGTTGCTTCTGAGCACAGCCACGGCAAAGACGAGCTGTCAGCATCGAAGGAACATTGCAACCCCAAACCTGGTTGGGACCAGCCTCTTCTGGATACACGGTCTCTTCTGAGGAGACTTCTCCTTGCTTCTAGAACCATGGCCTCCTTTCACAATTCCTGGCCATCTCACTGGCTTTAGAAGCGAGTGAGGAATGGAAGGTGGGACATCGCCGAGGCACACCTTCAGGGCCAGCTGGGTGGAAACACTCAGCGCTGCAAAGGAGCCCGTGATGATCTTTTGGGCACCCCTGAAAATGGGGAGCCAGCCGCGCTGGCCATGTTTGCCGAGCGGGTCTTGGAGTTTACAGGGCCTTGCAGCCGTTCCCTTTCATTCCTGACTCCCCACCAGGGCAGAATCCTATCCTTAGGCTGGAGGTACGGGTAACCGTTGCCTGGAAGCGCCGCTGAGCGCTGCTTGCAGAGTGGGTCTCAGAGGCACTCGGCTGCTGGAGGTTCTCAGCAGAATACGCCACCCGAGGCCTCTGCGTGGCTTTGCTTGGCCTTCCATCGTGCTGGTGGGATTGTGACCAAGCCCAGCCTTCCCTGGCAACGACGCTATCCCTTCTTTCTCTGCATGGAAGTAAGCCTTTGGGGCATTCCCGATGACCCATGGAAGGGAAGCTGACAGAGAAGCAGGGGATCCATCGGATCCAGACCTAAGGCTGGAGGGAACCAGCCTCATGCACTGCTCCATGACTGGTCGCTAAAGCCCCGGCCATGAGAGCCAGCAGAAGCGAGCCTCCCTGCAAGGCCCCAAATCCCACCAAATAACTCCCAGGGAAACCTCTTTCTCTCCAGGGGCCTGGCTTTTGAGATAGCACACGGAAAAATACTAAACACGCCTAGGAAAATCAGAACATTTCATTCCTAGTGGCCACAAGCCTGCACTCATTAATAGAATTAGCTATTGAGTTTCGGGTTGAAAGACAGACTCAAATACGGAGTCCTCAAGTAGCAGACTCCCCCTGAGTTCCCTGCCTGGCCTCCCACATTGCCTAAGCATGGTTAGCCTCCTAGGGGTGTGGCATGTGTATCAACAGGCGCCCTGCGTGCAGCCTGTAAGGGAGAAAAAGCCACTCGGAGCAGGCTCCTGGCCTTGCATCAGCAACCACAAACTTCCTTCCCAGTGAACTGCAGCCCTCCACTTCCCCATTCTGGCTGGCCCTATGGCAGGGGAAGCAGGCGAAGACCCGCAGCTTGGAGTACCTTAGGGGCAGGGGGGCAGGCATGCCCCGTGACCCCTGTGATGATAACTGCATCTACCCCTGCATCATACATTTGTTCCTCTGCCCCTAAAGTCTGGCCCAGGACCATTTAAGGAGCTCCATCCCAGCACGTTTCAGGATGCGGATGTAATAACTGGAAAGAGAAGACACTTCCTGGACTCTACCGAGAAGAGCCGTGACTGTTCCAAAAATGTATTTATCAACAAACCTGAGCAAGCGTTTGCTCTGCTGCCCTAGTTCACAGGGAGAACTTTTCTGAAACATGCAGCTCCGTCCAGCTTCTGAAATCAAGAGAGGCCTGGAGACCTGAGCCTTTTGCTAAGGAACCCGGGCAATCTCAAGCAGCGCCCTTGCTCCTGAACACGGTGGCCATCCCGCCATAGGAAACCCTACTAGTCCTGCCTGCCATGCCCAACCCAAAAGGCACAGGGAGCTCCCTTCGACAAGACAGGACCCAAGGCTGTTCTCTCCAAGGTAGTCGCGCCTGTTCTAACCACAAGCGGCTCTCCAGGGACACGCATCAGGCTTCCCCTGTCTTGTGGAGCTGCTGGGCCACAAAGCTTTTGAAGCAGTGGCCAAGGCCCCGATCCACAGGGATGGCAATTGCCCTCGCTCCTGGCACCATCGCATCTGAGACCAAGGTGTGAAGAAAGTAGTCCCCCCTTCTTTCACCTGGGTCACCTTATCGATTCCTGCTAAGCCCCCTTCGCTATGTATTTTCCGTGTACCAAACTGAGAGGCAGCAGCAGCAGAAGGTGGCCCTTTTTACGGCACCCTCTTCCCCCCCTCCCAGAGGTCTCACTCACTGGCCCCCTCCAGGCAGGACTTTCTGGGGCTCGCTGGAATTAGGCTCCTCTATCAAATGGGGAGTGAGATGAATGGATGGATAGATTTCAGACTGGAGGGGGGGTCTGTTTTGCATGCATGTATGCATGCATGTATGTATGTGTGCGTGTGTGCTTCTACCAAGCAACCCTGAGACTCACAACACAGAGAGGGATGGTGAACCACATTTAGGATTAAGCCAGCCTCTTGGCTTTCCCCCGAGGGAACCACCCTCCAGAGTGTCCCGGCCCTGCCTGGATGCTGACAGCAGACTCCCCGGAGGCAGGCTGGCAGGGGCTCCCCGCCCAGCGTTAATTGGGGATTTCGGCTTAATTGCCGAGATGGCATGATGTCACCGGTAGCCAATCGGGTAGCCTTGGAAACGCGCAAGCGGCCAGATCCTCCCCTGCTGGGGACTGCAGGGGGGCTCCCCGGCCCTGTGTCCCCCCCCCCACACCACTGGGGACAAAAAAAGGGCTCCTCTCTGCCTTCCAGCTTCTAGTCGGGAGCCAAGCT